ATACAGCTACTAAGAAAATAATGCACTGTTTATGTATTATATTATTTTCAAAAACATTTTTAAATGTCTTTTAGATGACTTTAAGTTAAAAGTAATATATCTCATAACTAGTACCTACTATTTTACATTATAACGAAGAAATAATTTTCTCTGTGATTATTCAGGAAACCGATAATGAATAACTTGTTACAAGAAAATTGAACAATTAATTAATTTGTATCTTAGTAATTCATCATATGAATCAGTTACTTTTTATTTGAAAATTAAATAATTTTTTAATAAGCTATTTAGCTATCTCTGTTATGCTGCAATCCTTGCAATCAGAAGAGTTAAATGTACTTTTAAACAGAAGTTTTAGATAAGTATAGATATTTTATGCTATAGATATATATGTATTTACCTAGGTCCCTAGCACTCAAACAAGTTTTTAGAACTATAACATTTCGATGTCGTAGTCGCGTTATCGATAATTTTAGAAGTTAAGCTTGTTGGTTAGAATTGATTACTCTGACTTATTAACTTCTTTGTTTCTATTACTGATGTTTAATGCTTGTTTAACCTGATAACAACAAATATAGTCTGCATGCACATTTAAAAGATGAAAATAACGTTCATAAAATATATTACAAAAATATAGTTTCAATTGATGCATAATTATGAATACATTTACTTCATAAATTACTCTATAATTATTTATAAGGTATAAACTTATATGATATTATTTAGTGGATAATTATTTATATTGTTACATATGTAATTATACCTATCTATCGCGTAATTTTTACAAATTATGCGAAATAATTATATTCGAATTGTTTTTCTCCTTTTATTCGTCGAATACGTTAAATCGATTTTATAGTTTTGTATAAGAATATCAATATACATAAATTCTGTATCATACATACCTGTGCTCACATATATTTCATCTGGGCAGAAATATTTTCAACGAAATAATTAAATATTTTAAATTGATATTTGCACTGCAATATTAAGTGCTGTTTCGAATTATGTCTTAATAATTATTTTTTTTTGTATCAATATACAACTACTTTTAATTTCGAATTAAATAATGTATTACAATTGTAGATAATGTATTACTAAATTTTTACTGCATATACAATTTAGTCATAGAAAAATCTAACCGAATTATCTTCTATGGGAAGGATGCTGTTTTTTGAACAATTTATTTTTATAAAATTGTTTTTACATTTTTTATATAATTCTTCATTATCGACTTACTTTACTTATTCACTAATACTATTATTATATTCATTATTATTTTATTAGTAGTGTGTTTAGGTTTGTTTAATTCTTCCTTATAAATCTATTAGATTTCTTGATAAGTCTAGATTTTCTGTCATGTGTAAATATTAGGTGATATTAACATGTTTTTCTGAATTTATATACAGGGTGACTCAACAAATATTTTTGCACTGTGAATAATTATAAATAGAATGTTTATGAATATGTATCCAAGTTTTGCAATCAAAGCTAAAAAAACGAATATACATAGACTTTTTTAAGTTATCGCTAATACACAATTAACGCGACTACACAGCTTTAAAGAAGACAAACTCGACGAGATTAAAAACTAAAATAATCAGTTGTAAACTTACTGCTTTTATGATTTAAATAATTCCAAGTAGGATTAACCATACTACATATGTATTTGAATATTACCAAATTTCATGTCGATATCACAAACATATTTTTAATTATACGTTATTTAACATTTTTATATTAAACACCAAATTATTTAAAACAGAACGATTGTGAAAAGCCTTCTTATAATTATTATGACAATTTATAAAACAATTAAACATTAAATGTACATATAAGAAGTAACTAGGATCCAGGTTTATATAGTTACATATTCGGGCATCTCTTCTCTATTTTTTCTAGACGTGACCCAGCAATTTGGTTTTCGGATTCGTATTTAGGGCAAGAAACTCTATATGAATCACCTAGTGATTATTGCAAGACACAAAAAAAGTTCAAATTTGTTCCACAGTGTTATCATTCCATCCTTTTCTTTTCTGATCTGTCGACAACTATTGATAGTACAAAGGCGAGTCGTGAGACTTGAAAATCGTGTCCGCTGTTCTTAAGTTGTCCTAATGCGATTTCGAGTGGTGGAACAAATCAAGAAAAATTACTATATAACGTGACCTC